GGGGACAGTGAGTGACACGGGGGACACTGGGGACATTGGGGACACTGGGGACAGTGGGGACACTGGGGACACTGGGGACAGTGGGGACACTGGGGACAGTGAGTGACACGGGGGACACTGGGGACAGTGGGGACACTGGGGACACACCTGGGCACGTCTGGACACACTTTGAGCCCACCTGTGCCCACCTGGGCACATCTGGGATACACCAGGGACACCCGGGCGCACTTTGAGCACACCTGGGCACACCTGGGCACATCTGGGATATACCTGGGCACACCTGGGCACACTTTGACCACATCTGGGCACACCTGGGGCACACATGGGCACAGCTGAGACACACCCGGGATATACCTGGGCACACTTTAAACCCACCTGGGCACACCTGGGCACACCTGGGCACACCTGGGATATACCTGGGCACACTTTAAACCCACCTGGGCACACCTGGGCACACCTGGGCACACCTGGGGGCACCTGAGATACACCTGGAAGACGACAAGGACACCCGGGCACACTTTGACCACACCTGGGCACACCTGGGGCACACCCGGGCACACTTTAAACCCACCCAGGCACACCTGGGCACACCTGGGATATACCTGGGCACACTGTAAACCCACCTGGGGCACACCTGGGGGAACCTGGGCAAACTTTGACCACACCTGGGATATACCTGGGCACACTTGGGACACACATGGGCACACCTGGGGCACACCTGGGCACACTTCGACTCCACCTGGGGCACACCTGGGGCACTCTGGGACACATGTGGGACACACCTGGGCACTCTGGGGCACACCTGGGCACACCTGGGCACACTTTAACCCCACCTGGGACACACCTGGGCATACCTGGGGCACAACCCAGATATACCTGGGCACACTTTAACCCCACCTGGGCACACCTGGGACACACCTGGGCACACTTTGACCCCACCTGGGCACACCTGGGCACACCTGGGGCACACCTGGGCACACCTGGGCACACCTGGGCACGCTTTAACCTCACCTGGGCACACCTGGGCACACCTGGGGCACACCTGGGCATGCTTTAACCCCACCTGGGCACACCTGGGCACACCTGGGGCACACCCCAGATGTACCTGGGCACACTTTGACCCCACCTGGGACACACCTGGGCACACCTGGGGCACACCTGGGCACACCTGGGGCACACCTGGGGCACACCTGGGCACGCTTTAACCCCACCTGGGCACACCTGGGCACACCCGGGGCACACCCGTGCCCACCTGCGCCCGCAGGCACTGGCTGGCCGCCGCCTACCCGCCCTTCGCCGTGCCCTACTTCGTGTACGACGTCTACGCCATGTACCTGTGCCACCTGCAGCGCGCCCAGGTGAAGGGGCACGGCCAGGGGGGCACGGGCGGTGCCCGCGCCGCCGCCGCCGCCTTCCTGCGCCGCGAGCTGCTGATGGTGCTGCACCACGCCGCCATGGTGCTGGTCTGCTTCCCCGTGGCCACCGTGAGTACCCGGGGCACCTGGGGGCACCTGGGCACACCTGGGGGCACCTGGGCACACCTGGGAAGGGTTAAACACACCTGGGCACTCACCTGGGCGCACCTGGGCACACCTGGGATAGACCTGGGATAGACCTGGGCACACCTGGGCACACCTGGGACACACCTGGGTATGGTTAAACACACCTGGGCACACCTGGGCACACCTGGGCACACCTGGGCACTCACCTGGGCGCACCTGGGTATGGTTAAACACACCTGGGCACTCACCTGGGGGCACCTGGGGAGGACTCGGGGACAGTTTTGGGGACCCTGGGGACACTTTGGGGACACCTGGAGGGGTTGGGGTCACTTGGGGGACACCTTTGGGACACTCCGGGGACACTTTGGGGACATTGGGGGACACCTGGGGACACTTGGGGACACCTTGGGGTGTTGGGGACACTTTGGGACACTTTGGGGACACTTTGGGGACACTTTGGGGGGCTTGGGGACACTCCGGGGACACTTTGGGGACACCTTGGGGTGTTGGTGACAATTTGGGGGGTTGATGACACTTTGGGGACACTTTGAGGGGCTTGGGGACACCTGGGGACACCTGGGGACACCCTGGGGACACTTTTTGGGGGTTGGTGACACTTGGGGACACCCTGGGGACACTCTGGGGGTGTCTGGGACATTTTGGGGGGGGTTGGTGACACTTGGGGACACTCGGGGGACACCTGGTGGCATTTGGGGACACTTTGAGGGGCTGGGTGACACTCTGGTGACACTTGGGGACACTTTGGTGACACTTGGGGACACTTTGGGGGGTTGGTGACACTCGGTGACACTCTGGTGACATTTGGTGACACTTGGGGACACTTGGTGACATTTGGGGACACTTTGGGGGCTGGGTGACACTCCGGTGACATTTGGGGACACTTTGGGGGGGCTGGGTGACACTTGGGGACACTCGGGGGACACCTGGTGGCATTTGGGGACACTTTGGTGACACTTGGGGACACTTTGGGGGTTCGGTGACACTGGTGACATTTGGTGACACTTGGGGACACTTTGGGGGGGTTTGGGACATTTGGTGACACTTTGGGGGCTGGGTGACACTCTGGTGACATTTGGGGACACTTTGGGGGGTCGGTGACACTTGGGGACACTTTGGTGACACTTGGGGACACTTTGGGGGGGTTGGTGACACTCAGTGACACTCTGGACAGGTTGGTGACACTTGGGGACACTCTGGTGACACTTGGGGACACTTTGGGGAGGTGGTGACATTTGGTGACATTTGGGGACACTTTGGGGGGCTTTGGGACATTTGGTGACACTCTGGGCAGGTTGGTGACACTCTGGTGACGTTTGGTGACACTTGGCGACACTCGGGGAGGAACCGGTGACACTCTGGTGACACTTGGTGACACTTTGGGGGGGTTTGGGACATTTGGGGACATTTCGGGGGGGTGGAGACAATTTGGGGACACTTGGGGACACTTGGTGACACTTTGGGGGTCGGTGACACTTGGGGACACTTTGGTGACACTTTGGTGACACTTGGGGACACTTTGGGGGGGTTGGTGACACTCAGTGACACTCTGGGCAGGTTGGTGACACTCGGGGACACTCTGGTAACACTTGGGGACACTTGGGGACACTTGGGGACACCTTGGTGACACTTTGGTGACACTTTGGTG